ACATTCACCCTCAGGGCAGCTTTGCCTCAGAGGCTCCTGTGCTGCCCTTCTCCTCGAAGGGCAGCCTCAGAAGGACAGCAACTTCAAGGTAAGGAACATGGACTTGCTTTTCTTTTCCATGCCAGGATAGAATGTGTTTTGCCTAATTTTCTGACAAAAATCCAATGGCTGTGATCATCATAACAACTCAATTAGGCCAGGAAAAAAACCACAAAGGTGCTGAAACCTGAAGCAGAAACTCCGCTGCTCCGGCTATCCCCTGCTGTGCTCCCTCCTGACCATTATCCGGCTCCTGGCACTGAAGCGCAGCCTGAGCAAGCCCCCCATCACGCCCAGCTACCAAATGCCTTGTCTCTATGACACCATTTGTTTTCTTTTGCAGCTATTTTCATCTGTTGTTAAACATTCCTCTGAGATGAGGCCTTCTGCCTTCATCCCCAGCCAAAACCCACAGCTGGCTCCCTGGGTGGTAGATGTTGCCTCTCTCTTGGATCCAAGAGGCTGCAGCTGCATCACTTGGATCTTGCATCAGCTCTCCCGCGCTTTCCCTTCCTCCCCTCCAGTCAGAGTTTTCTAGGAAGGCAATGCCCTCCTTCTTCCAAACCATTACCAGTAAAGCCTGTGAACTCTCACCAGATCAAAAGCCGGGGCTGGCTTACCTATGCAAAGCAGAGGTGTTACTTGAGGAAGGGTTAACATGCCACTAACTCACCTCTGAAGCCACACTTGGATGGAGTAAGAGCATTGAACTTGTCTGGATATTTGATCCAACACTGGATTATGGAGAGCCGTTTTTGATCAAAGACAGTCTGAAGGAGAAATGCCACCTATGGCCTGGCATTTCCTTCAGTGAAATGGGACAGACTGCTCCAAACTCAGAGATTTCAGTTCACCAGCAGGAGGAGAACTGACCCAGCTGCAGCTGCAACCTGGGAGCAGCTGCCACAGGCTCCTCTGGAGTCCCTGGAAGTGGTCACTTACTCACAGCAGTGTCCATGTCATTATCACTACTCATCCTCTGTTGTCTGCTGCAGCGCTGGAGAAACCAGGAGAACAATTGTCCCACCCCCTCGCTGAGAGATGCTGGGTTGTGTGACTGATGGGTCACCCCATGGACATGGAGGAGCAGAGGCAAGCACACTGTAACCTCACCAGAGCCGGCTCAGCCCCTGACAGGGCAGCTGCCAGGGCTGTCATGGGGAGTCACTAGCCCCATGGTCAATGGGAGAGGCTCCCCACCAGCTCACAGGGGGTTGCTGCCTGCAGGAGCTTGGAGTTCACAAGGGAGATGGTCAGTGCCACATTTTCTATCTGCATTGACGGGCATGGCAAATGTCTGTCTATGGGACTACACGCTCAGCCTCACGCTGGCTGGGCAGGGGGACCTGGAGCGGTGGTGGCCTGGTCTGATCCAGCAGTAGCTCTTTTCCACCATAACACTGAAGCCATGCTTCTTTCACAGCTATCGACAACCAAGTCACCTCCATAGTAACCAGCTCTATATGAAAGAAAGCCACAGCCGAGCTGGGCTCATATGCTCAGCTGCTTGAATGTGCTGTGCAGTTCCCACTCCTAAATTTTAAGTTCCAATATCACTGTGCTGCCGGGATTTACCACCTGGGGTCAGCACCAGGTGAGGGAATTTCAGACCACAGCCAGTTTTCTGGCACAGATGGTCTCTGGAAGGGCCAGAAATGGAAAGGTAAAAGCTCCGCTGTACCTAAGCAAACATAAGAAAGGTTGTACCAAGTCTGTCCCAAACCCTTTTAATCCCTTTCATGTCTTTTCAGATCATTCAAGGAGAAATCATTGAGTCACCTACAGCAGCTGCAGCCTCTTCCGTGTGTTTTCTACTGGGATAACTCTGTGACTCAGCTTGATCGTCTCTTCTCCAAGATTTCCTTTTTCCCCTCCTAAGGAATGAGGATTTTTTGGTCTACCCTATCTCTGTATACCACACTGTCCTCTGTGAGGGCAAACCAAAGTCAGGTTGTAAGGAATCTTCTCCACACCCAGACTGGTGAGCGGAGGATGCACTGCCACTTCCACTGCAGCTTTTCTGGATGTGGCCTTTTCAACTTGCCTCCAACGGGGATGTGAAGTAAGTTTGGACATACCTGCCTTACAGCTCTTGGAGCCCTGCAGCCAAAACCCGTGAACTTCAGATGTAGCGGTTTTTCTGACCAAGAAGTAACAAACTGCCTGCAGAACGTGCCTTTTCCTCTTCCCAGTGACAGCTCCCAGTTCAGATGATGGAAAACATTCCCTGGCAGGACAAGATTCAGTGACACTGGAGTGCGAGGCACTTTCTTGCTTCCCCGTCATACATCACACCAAACACTCACAAGTGCAGCACTGATGAAGTCAATGCCAATTTTCTCCTCACTTTTAAGGGGAGAGAGGCAGAAGAGACACACCAAGTCCATGGTTTGTCAGAGAAATGAAATGCCTTTAGAAAAGGAGTTACCTGGAATCTTCCTTTGGATAAGGAAGTAAAGAAATAATATATTTAAGTAGTTTTGATGCTTTAATTAACTCATATTTACACTTGAAAATGCATCATTAACTGTTAATTCCATTTTACACCCAGAAATACATTCAATGACTTAGAGAAAAAGGGAAGAAAAATAAATGCAAACAAGATGTGTCAAAAAGTGGTATAAAATAAGATTTATTTGCAAATAATTCTGACAATAAGGAAACAATCATCTTTGAGCTGTGCATTTTGGAGATTACAGGTCAGCTCTTTCACCTCCAGAGATTTCCATTTGCATGCATTATGGGATACCTCTAGAATTCAAAATGAAGTGTCCTTTTTTTGCCTTGCTGTGCTGAAGAATTCCTTCCGTAGGCACCCTACAGGAGAGTCAAAGTCTTTGTAAAGAGAAGCTGTCACAGGAAACACACAATGAAACAACCTTGGCTGAGAAATGCTGTCGCATGAGAGCTGTTTCACATTTGTTTAACACAGTGTTAAGCGCTCCAAGATTCCCACAAGGAGAAGTGCCTGGTGCTGTAAGTACAAAAACAAACCCAAAACAACAACAACAGAACAAAAACAAACAAAAAAACCAAACAAGAAAACCCCCAAACCAAACTCCAACATTTAATCCCAAACACCACAGCTACACTGAAACCTTGGATTTCTTTCCTATGTAAGAATGCACAGTATGTCTGGTTATGACCTGAGTTCCCTCTCTTGGAAGCTAACAAGCTGTGTCTCATGTAAAAAGAAAAATCAAGAAGTTCAAGATTTAATTATAACTGCTGTATATCAATGAACTCGGGACAAAGGCAACACAAAGTGAGAACTGATTTACCCTAGCGCCTGACTGTGGGAAGGTAACCTCTACATTATGGTTAGTCACAGCAACTGAGGAGGAAGACAGCAGTAGTTCAGAACATTTCTTCAAATTTTCCCACTCCTCTTCCCAACCTCACTCTGCCTTTCAAAAAACCAGGAAATTTCAACTCTGAAGTCATATTTTGAATTAGATGAGATTGGAAGTGTACTCTGAAAACCCTGTATGATTAAGTTGTCAGCAGACCACATTAAGCACATCTTGGTTTAGGGGAAAGTCCAAAAGAAACACCAGGAAACAAAGGAAGAGCTACTCAGAGAGGAAATCAAAGCAAGTGAACTAGGTCTATTTTAAATACAGTTCTAGAAAATAATTTTTTAATAACAAAGAGGGACTGTTTTTTCTATTTATGAAGTTCAAAACAACCCCAATATTTGACAATGGAAAAATATTATTTTTCCCCTCTCCCATACATGTAACAATGCAAGGATGAGTAGAGGTCAGTGTCACCAGTTCAAATAAGGCATTAATGAATGCATTAGATAACTCAAATGTAAATAAACTTGTTATATATAAATATGCCCAAAAGATTAAAATAACCTTATAAGGGTAACAACTACTGTATTGGTGACAACCATTTTATTTAACTATTTAGGCAACAAAAACTGGAAAGAATGATAAAGAGTCTTAGAGACATTATTTTATTTTGGTCTACTTTAGAAAGACTAAACCAAGATCCAACTGAAAGCTCATCATCACCAGTCCACACGCTATCCCACTATGGGGGTTTCCCCACCTCCTCTGGGGAACTCAGTCCATCTTTATGGAGTAAATACACTTGGTCATTTCACACCAGCCGTTGCTGAAATGATCCTGAGAGCAAGGCCCAGAATCTTGGAATCTCGCTAAGCTGAATGCCCTAGCAAACATCAGTCTGCCTCCTGAACAAGCTCAAAACTGCAAAAGTAAAGGATAAAGAGTTCAGAACAAATCTTACACTGACAAACATTGCCCTCTTCGATCCCAACTCAGCCGTCTTCAGAGAACAGCAAGAATTTACCATTACCTTCAGTGGTTACGCTCTCCCATTAGACAGCTCCAAGGCTTTACTCGTATCCCGTATTTGTGGTGTAGTCAAACGTAAATACAGTCGAGGTTTACTGACTTCTGATTTGGGCAAGAGAGATGCACTGCAGCAATTAAGCTGCAGGTGCCAGCATTCTGTATCAGCCCCTAGAATTCATGGTTTTTATAGTATTTTTGCAAGACAAACTTTGCCACGTCTCATTAAGAGTCCAAAGTCTGAAGAATCCCTACCCTGAAAATCCACTATTTGCTGAGGAAGTGCATTTACTGACAATGTAAACTAGCTCTAAGGATACCATCTTTAATGACAACACTTTAAAAAGACCCCATGTAGCCTTACAAGTTTTGTGCTCTTACGTACCCAGGTCTGAAACCTAGAAATGCCTAGGGGTTTTTAGAAGCCTTGCAGAAGTGATTCAAGCGTCATTAAAGGTTTTGGCAGAATAATGTTACATGAAGTTGGTAATACACTTGCGAACGTTTATAATCCAGTGATCCGTTATAAGAAGTATTATTGCATTTTAAGCGTAAAAATATAGGAGGTTCTATAAAGAAAATTAAAATAGCATTAATCTGATATTGATAGTCATATAAAAGAACTCACAATTATGTAAGTTTCCATTTTTAATTACACATTTAAAAATAAGTTAGAAAAATAATTAAGCTTCTTTAAAACCCCTCAGATATTTTCTTTTAGGAGTTTTTACTCATGTCTACCGATTGTCTAGCATCAGCAACAGTTTCTGGTACTCGAACAGTCATATCATCCATCCATTTCTTCAAGCAGATTTGGCAGCCTAAACGCGATCTGTAGAAAAATATGACACTGATGTTAGTTCCAGCCAGCCACACATCTACCAGCATTTACCACCCCCTTATACCTCCTCCAGCATTCAGCCACACCAAACACATCATGATCTAGGAACAGCTACCCTTGGGCATGGTCTTAATCAAGACCAGCAACGAACTGCATGCATCAGTACAAAGATGTAAGTGGCAATAACAATGATTTATATTAAATAATAGAGCTGAAGTTATATTGGAAAGTTGTACAGTGAGTACTTCCTACTTGCTGAGACAACCTATAATAATGGTGACTCTTCCACTTTCAGTAGTTCACTAATAGTTCAGTCAAGTGCAGGGAATGACACTTGGTCTCTCAAGGGAGATTTGGCCTCTCTGAAGAGGTGAAGGCAATGAATCTGAACAAAAACCTCAGAGAAAGCACAGCCTAACTCATCCAGGGTCTGAAGACAGCCCAGTGTTTTCAAACTAAACTCAAGACTGAGTCATTAAGCCAGAAAAGCAAGAGTGAAGAGACAAGAAACATAGGAAGAAGGATAAAATATTCATGGCACCTGAGGAGATGCAATCCTTCATTTTTCTACCTGTCATCTGCATGAAAGAGCCTTGTGCGTGAGCAATTAAAATCAAAAGATTTTATACCATCACAAAATTATCCAGACACCACAAGCCACTTTTATTGCTGGGACATCTTCAATTGAATGTCCATGCCTTGGTGCTTAAGTATAGTACACAAACGTCGGCAAGGATGGGCAAGGTTATGTAGCACCGGCTGAATGATAATTTAATGAGTATGGGAACGCAGGCAGAGATATTAGAAAAAATGGTACTACATTAATATCTATACAGAACTCTTTCAAGCATGTAGTGATCAACTGTTGGTAAAGCTCCCAATTTAGCATTATAGCCTGATGTAATACCTCTAAGTAAATGACTGTACACATCAACTTCAAATTGCTGGAATGTATGTATAAGGACATACATTACCAGAAGATTTCATCTCATGAATACACATCTGTAAGAATAGCTTTTGAAATGTATAATATATTAGAGAGATATCATTTCTGGTATTTAAATGCAGCATTGCCTGTAAGGTTTAATTTACTGAAGTGTCTGTTTTTCATTAAAGACCAATGCTAATTGCATATCTACTCTGCAGTGTGGTAATGGAGTCACTTCGTGTGAAATAACACTGCCCTTTGTTTTGAGCCTGCTACACAGCAGTACAAAAAAAAACCCCAAACCTAGGCAGCATTAAATAACACTGAGAGAAACAAACTACCTTATCCTATTCAAATTCTTCCACAGCTTTTACAATTTTAGAGATATTTAGCCAGGTTCCCCCACCCCTTAAAGGTGAAGGAGGTTGGGCCCCCACCAAAAAAGATGATTTAGTCAATCCCTGCGAGAAAGCCATTCCCCCCTTTAACCACTTCTATAGGCCTTCCCTTTGTCTCACTCTAGTACTTTGGAAAAAAAGAAAAAAATCCAAGAAAACAGGAAGTCAGAGTTGCACAATATGGTGAATCCCCATTTTGTCATGTAATGGTATTTTCTGTTTTTCTACCTGTTCCTACCTAATACTGCCAATGTTCCATTTACCTTTCTGAGTTTTTTGTTTGTTTTTGTTTTGCTTTGTTTTTTTGGTGGGCTTTTCTCTTTGTTCATATGTTGGGGTTTTTTTAAATGCCAAACCTTAAGCTGACATTCCCAAACGACACCAGCTAGCTGACAGCCTATTTCAAGTATGCAGTTACCACTGCTTTACTCACCTCTATTTGCATTTACCTGCATCTTTTAACACCAAATTTTGTTTCCTGCCACTCAATGGCACAAAAGCCTTGCGCATCTTCACTGACAGCTTCCCATTCTACCTCAATGAGTAATCAGCACTGTACACAAACCTTACTTTTCATCCTCTTTCCCAAGTCTTCCACAAATACGCTCACCTATCAACCTAGCACTGACCACTTTTAGATCATACTACCGATCACATACTCTTATCAGATAGCTAAGTACTTCTACCCTGATAAAAGACATTTTAAAAAAAACAGCAAATGAATTACTTATCCTTTACAGGGTCTTTGCTCTTACTCCACTGCAACTCAAAACTTTACTAAAGGATTTCCAGACCAAAGTAAACTACATGAACTGTAAGACTTTTCTTCATGCTCAGTGACTCATTTGAACAACTCCCATATCCATTACTTCCCTCTACAAAATTTCTGTTGAATTGTTGCCTTACCATTATTTAGTAGAAACTATAAAAAAGCAACAGCCCACAGACAGGTGATGAACGTGTCCACTGTGGAATCAGACTCACTGTTCTCCACTTCCAATGATCTCATTTTAAAAGTTGGGTTGCTACCTTCTCTTTCTTTTACGTGGAAGCAGTTTTAAACCAACTAAGCCTTAAAGACAGTAGTTCAGAAATGTCATACTGAATTCTTGTAGAACACCTGGATGAACGCTACCAAGTAATTACCACTTGTTACTACTCATTTTATTTATTTGCTGTAATACTACTTCTATGGACACATCAGTTTAAGGCAGCTATTCCAGGAAGCCCTCTGCAAAGAAACCTGCCAATGCATGGACATCCTGTAACATCTCAAGACCACAATGCAAAATAAACTGCTTTTATGTTATCTTTTTATGTTTTAAAATGCGCCTTCTATATCGCCCATTGACTCATTATGCAGACAAGTTTCCTGCTTCTGATAGGTTACAAACAAAATTATTTTTCTACTTCTTAGCAAGTTGTTTCTCAGCTTTTTTTCTTCAGTATACCTTTTAAACATTTAACTTGCCGGGGTTTACATCCCCACTATCTTACTACTTTCAATAATCTCTACGGTTCTGCAATTATTCAAAACAATTTCATTTTAACCTTTCTAATTAGTCTCTCATTCTAAAAAATGTTAAGATTTCATGGCAGCTGCTAGCTGAAACTTTCTGAAATTCAGAGTCAATAACAAGAAAAAACTTTTATCCTTATATCCTTATATATCCTTTTATCATTATACTTATGCCAGAGCACAGTAGTGCATCTCCATTACACAAGTTTGTATCAGCACAGGAGACCAGATAACCTGTAGTAAATATCAGTCACTTAAAGCTCTGTCTTCCAGAAAAGTCATCCTCTCACACATATGAAAGATACTTGGCCAGAAGACGACCACATGACGTTAGAAAAACCTGACAGAATTAACAAGTATCTTCAGAGGGTCTAAAACTTAATTTGGTCTGAAGAACTTTGAAAGAAAACCGGAATATTTAAACAGAGCGCTCTGGCTTTCTACTGTTTTTCAGTTCTTCAGTAAAAACTCCTTGCTTTAAACCTCTGATTAAAAGATAGCCCAAGAAAATATTTTTGTATTAGATCATTGGCCTCCAGAGGTATTTAAGAATTGCTTCGGCCGAGAACATAAAAGTTACTCTTAGGAGAATTATAGTAGAAGGTAAGAGTGAAGTAATTTCACACTTAAAAGGCTTATGATTTTTTTCAAGGCTGCAAATGCTTGTTGGAGACAGAAAAAAGGAAAAAACAAAAACAGCTGAAACAGGTTTCTCAAAGCTTGACTTCTCTGCCTTTACAACCTCCCAGAAAAGTTAAGATTTGGCTGAAGCTAGAGAAAGTGTACCCATTTATTCAGAGCACTCTTTTGCAGACAGAAAAAAAAGATCCTGTGCTACACAGGCCAGGTATAAAGCCCTTGGACATCACTGTAAAGATTCTCAAAAACTCTGACAAGCCATTTCATTGAAGCATAAAGGGCTTATGAAACCCTGTAAAGCATAGATGCCTACTGTTCATGTGGGTACATGCTACAATATAGGCTGTGCGTACATCAGCAAGTAGTGCAGCCCACTAGGAATGGGTCTGTGGTGAAGATATGATATCCTAATTACGTGATCATGGGGGAGATGTAGAACAGAAGGTTACTTTTGACTACCATGAGTCTAATCCTATGCACTGATAGGCCCACTGGCACTTAGAGCACACTCTGGGATTAGTTAAACCCAAAGAGACTCTGACTTGTGTGCTCTAAGCACACTCTGCCATGAGTCAAAGCATGACAAGTGGGGACACTGCCATGCGGGACACTGTTCATCCTAGAGAAGGCTCGGGAGGGGAATCTTATCAATGTACATAAATACCAGAGAGGTTGTGGAGTCTCCTTCCTTGGAGATAGTCAAAAGCCATGGGGACATGGTCCTGGGCATTGGCTCTAGGTGGCCCTGCTTGAGCAGGGGGTTGGACCAGATGACCTCAAGAGGTCCCTTCCAACCTCAACCCTTCTGTGATTCTGTGAAAAGAAGATCTGACCGAAACTAAAATACTAATGCAAACACATTCATAAAATACATTAACTAGCTACAGACTAATGAAGACAGAAAACAGAAGGGAAGGGAAAACAGAACAAGAACATTCACACACATGTCAGCAGCAGCAAAGCTTTTGTTTGAAAGAACTGGATTTTTGGCCATACTTCAGTATCTGACACTTCTGCATCAGACACCTCTGAAGAGCAAGTACTGGCAAATGCCACACCTCAGTTTACAAAAACAGTACTGACATCTTTTTCATATGAATTCAGATAAACAATATTTAAGCATGGCAGTCCCATCTGTGTAACAGAATCTAGCTATTCATTAAAAGATAAGGTATTCTCCAATACTGACTGCCCCATTGTAAACCTTTCTTTCCTCTTTGATGTAGTAAAGCGTTATGATGCCTTACGTTTCTGTGAGGCCGTATGCCAGGTCCAGCATGTCCATCTCTTCATCAGTAATTGCATCTAGTTTCTCAAATATGTGGTCTTCAAAGATTAAATGACAAGTTGAACAGGCTAGTGTTCCTTCGCATGCACCTAAAGAAAAAAATAATCAAGATAACAGAAAATCCAAGTTTCAAGCTACAGTAGAATTACAGAATTTCAGCACAAATCCTTCCTATAAAAGTTTGTTTAGTACCAGAATTCTCTCTGTTGCTTTAGTAAAATTAATGTTTTGTATATTCCCATATTCATGTATCTACTCTGTATTCAATTGTCAATAGTATTTCTACATTCCATATAACATTAAGATCTACTGAACATTGTAATTAGTTAAAATGCTTAACTAATTCCCTTTCTACCATTTAAAGAGAGACAAGTTTTCTACTTTCAGATAACTGTAAAGAGCTATAAGGCCTCCCTTCAGTCTCCTCTTCTCCAGACCAAACAACTCCAGGTCCCTCAGCCGCTCCTCATAAGACCTGGGCTCCAGACCCTTCACCAGCTTCAGGATCATTCTTTGGACATACTTTGAGGTGCTGGAGCATTTCTTATAGTGAGAGGCCCAAAACTGAACACAGGATTCGAAGTGCAGCCTCACCAGTGCCAAGAACAGTGGCATAATCACTTCCCTACTCCTGCTGGCCAGACTATTTCTGATACAAGCCAGGATGCTGTTGGCCTTCTTGGCCACCTGGGCGCACTGCTGGCTCATATTGAGCTGGCTGTTGACAAACATCCCCAAGTCCTTTGCTAGCCTGGCAGCTTTCCAGCCGCTCTTCTCCAAGCCTGTAGTGTTGCATGAGGTTGTTGGGACCCAGGTTCAGGACCCGACACTTGGCTTTGTTGAACCTCATACAATTGGCCTTGGACCATCAATCCAATCTGTCCAGATCCCTCTACCAACACCAACGGCCTTTCCCTCATCCACTAGGCGGGTCACTTTATCATAGAAGGAGATCAGGTTAGTCAAACAGGCTCTGCCTTTCATAAACCCATGCTGACTGAGCCTGATCACCTGGTTGTCCTGTACGTGCAGTGCAGTGGCACTGAAGATGATTCTGCTCCACGATCTTTCCCAGCTCCGAGGTCAGACTGACAGCTCTGTAGTTCCCCAGGTCCTTCTTCCGGCCCTTCCTGTAGATGGGCATCACATTTGCTAACCTCCAGTCAGCTGGGACCTCCCCAGTTAGCCAGGACTGCTGAGAGATGATTGAATGTGGCTTGGTGAGCCCTTCCACCAGCTCCCTCAGTACCATTGGGTGGATCCCATCCAGCCCCATAGACCTGTGTGCATCTGAGTGCTGTAACAGGTTGCTAACCATTTCACCTTGGATTTATGGGAGCTTCATTCTGCTCCCCATCCCTGCCTTCTAGGTCAGGAGGCTTGGCACCCCTAGAACAACTGGTCTTACTATTAAATACTGAGGCAAAGACGACATTAACTACCTCAGCCTTTTCCTCACCCTTTGTCACTACATTTCCTGCTGCATCCAATAAAGGATGGAGATTCTCCTTAGCCCTCCTTTTGTTGCAAGTGTCTTTATAGAAACATTTTTGCAGTCTTTTATGGCAGTAGCCAGATGAAGTTCTAGTTGGGCTCTGGCCCTTCTAAATTTCTCCCTGCATAACCTCACGATACCTCTGTAGTTCTCCTGAGTTGCCTGCCCCTTCTTCCAAAGGCCATAAACTCTCCCTTTTAATCCTGAGTTCAGCCAAATTCTATGTTGAGCCAGGCTTGTCTTCCCCACTGGCTTGTCTTTCAGCACATGAGGACAGCCTGATCCTGTGATTTTAAGATTTCCTTCCTGACGTGTGTCCAGCTTTCCTGGGCTCCTTTGCCCTTCAGAACTGCCTCCCAAGGGACTGTCAACCAGACCTGTAAACTGGCCAAAGTCTGCCCTCCGGAAATCCAAGGAGGCAGTTATGCTAACTCCACTCCTTACTTCCCCGAGAATCGAAAATTCTTATCATTTTGTGACTGCTATGCCAAAGACAGCCTCCAAGCATCACACCACCCACAAGACCTTGCCTGTTTGCAAACAACAGGTCCAGGATGCCCCCTAGTGATAGAAGTAAATAGGCAACATTTACCTTTTTTCCCCCTTTTTCCTAAACACAGAATATACATGTTTACATTATTTACACTGCATTGTCTCTCTGTCCTAGTATGACTCGTTAGCTTATTATTATTGAAATGGAACTAACATGTTATAATTAAAGACTGTTACAGTATCTCCAATTTTTAGTTTGACTTCAGTTTATTGACAGCATTACCTTATGTTTTCCACTTTACCACAATGCTTTAACATGACTGATATTTACACAAGCTGAGAGAATACTTACTACAGAATACAAGCAGACCTACCATAAGCCCATATGACACATTTCATAAGTGACTTATAAAAAGCTAGCTATCCCAATGCATTACACATTTTTAAGAGACAACTCTTCTTCCCCAAACGTATGCAACTCTAGACCTGAGTTCTCAGGCATAAGTCTGAGATTTAAAATCTTACCAAAGATTTTATTACTAGCAATGAATTTTTCTGTGCTTAAATAAAACACACCTCAGATTTCAAACCATGCTACACTAGCCTACTTATTTTCTTTCTCTATTGCTTCATGCTATGCATTCACTCATGCAAATTGTACTTCTGCTTCCTACTTTAGTTTGTACTATTAATTCTTAAGCTCATGTTCACGTAAATACCTCTCCTGAGGTTATTTAATTGCCATTACCAAATGCCACTGCTTTACATTCCAGAATCCTACAACTTCAATGGAACTAAGTAAGCAAAGTACAAAAGTTTGAATAGGGAAGTGTTATAACTTCCTCCTATTTTGATTTTAAACAGAACTTGTACTAAGTTAGAATTTCACTAGGGCATTGATGTTCTTTACACCAGTCCTTTAAAAGAATTAAATCTTTTTCTCTTCCCTGCTAACTGGCATGGATTTGGCTGTTTCTTTCACTTAGCACTCAAATACTACAGCAATTTGTGCTGCAAAAAGTGATAATAAATTGAGACAGTACGGCAATACAGAAGTAATCAGACACTGTTAGAAATACACCAGTTCTGTGTTGTCTCCAGAACCTTTCAGCTCAGAAAAGTCTGCAGGTGGCATCTTTCAGATTCCACCTTGACAGCACTCTGGACACATTCCCCTCCTTCAACATTCAAGCAAGGCTTCCCTCCAATATTTTTTTAGAACCTGACCCAAAATATTCCATGCACCTGCAAGGGAAAAACAATGAGGAGAAAATCCAAATAAAGTAAAGCAAGGTTTTACAAATAAATTCATAAATTAATATTCATTTATGGCTAGACTCAATTATCCTAAGGATCTTTTCCAACCTAAGTGGTTCCATGACTCTGTAAGTATTTATGAATAAACTGGTAATAGAACATCATTTCTAGACACTGAATACAGAATTCAGTGAATCTACTTACCAAAACCATCTATGTCTAGATTATTTTCAACAACAACATCCAGCAGTGAATCCCCAGGTTTGCCTTTGGCTGTTAGTTTGTCACCATCACGGTTTATGAAATGAACAGTTATTTTATCTTCTGAGCTGAAAAAGAAAAGTACGTAATGCAATTAAAGAAATAATTGTAGAATCTTTAAAACTGATTGAATACTACTAAACCAGTAATGACTATAAACTCTAACATCACAGAAACCCAAGTTATTGGCTTCCAAAAGCTTTAACAGTTACAGGCATTTACTGCTGCACACTGAAAAAAAGAGACATGAAAAATTTGGAAAAAACCCTCAGTGTTTGTTTTATCACTAGAAGCTCTATAGGATCCTGATGTTTTGCCTTTCACTGAAGAAAGTCAGAGATATTTTATTTTAGGCAGGATATTTGTATTTTTATGAAATAAAAGCTTATTTTAAATGATCCTCTCCGCACCTTTCTGTGGACTCTTGCATTGGATTTACGAAATTTTAATTGTTCTCATCATTATAATTCAGGACAAATTTTAAATTTCCCCATTTCTGCTTAGCATTTAAGGCATTTTATTAGTTCCAAAATTTGATTCTCCTTTCCTCCCAAAAGTAGAAATATTCCAAAACCATTCTGCTTTTTCTGAGCACAGATTCTCTTCAGATTTCACCTTCTAAACATTAATTTCAGTGAAGTTCAAAGTTTTGACATTGGCTTCAAAGAGAGAAGGTTCTGTATCTTCCTGCTTTGCTTTTCAGACACTTATGTTTATTTAAGAAAAGATTCTATTGCAGTCTACATTAAAATTTCTTAAGACTAAAGCTCTTAATATGGAAAAAACATAGGGTTGGGGTTTTTTGTTCCATATCATGTCATTTCACTGGCAAATTAAAGGAAAGCTTTTAATACACTAGCAAATAAAATACAGTTTGTTTGTTTTTAAACTGACTACAGGAAGTGAGCAAAACAAGAAAAACTTGTTGGATGGACAGTGAAGAAACCTGCCAAGAGATGAAAGATACAAATAAAACAACTGAATGCTAATGCAAAAATCTATGTTTCAATGTGAAATCCATGTTTAAGAACAGCATGCTTAGTATCTTTATCTTTTTAGTAACTGAGGGCCTCAAGTGATCCATTGTATCAAAATCCTACAAGCTTGAAAATCAAGTCACCCCTGGAGAACTCTAGCCTATAGAGCTGAATATTAAAGAAAATATTTGAAAGTGACCATACTGAAACATTATTAAACAGATTATTTCTGGAACTGGCTGTAAAAGAAAACGTGTTTTTAGCAATCCAAGCTCTAGCTTGTTTTGAAAAACAACAAATGTTTGTTGTTCTAGACGTGATATACTTGCCACAACTGTAAGCTCAACTGGCAGCAGTAATGCCGTGATTCATTGTGATGTGGTGTCCAACTCTTGTCATACCATCCCTCAGTCCATTCTCCAGAAGGCACTCACAAGCTACTATTAACTATAAATTTATTCCAAAATGGTAATCGATAATGAAGGATTGACCTAGTTGATCTGCAGAATGCAACTGAAGAATGCACTATAATAAAACTCAGCAATCTTAAAGACATACCTTTACAAAATGTAATTAATGTTGCACCATCATCCATGATATTGAAGGACCACCTCCAGTAAGTCGTTCTGCGGGGGTTTAAGTTTGGCCCTCTGCTGTGTTAACACCTCCCACAGCACAACCAAGGAAACAAGCACCCACTTCTTTGATATGCTGGTACGAAATTCACCACCTTCACTAGCAGCTAAGACTGATTGCGTCTGGACAGGTACTGATTCACACTCTGAAAGCCAAAGTAAACCACCGACACTGTAATTTTAAGCTGCTTCAAAATGCTTCTACAGACCTCACCGAAGTACACTCTGATTTACTAAAATATTTGTCAATGTGACAAGCCCAACAGGAGACACAATGCAAGACACACTTGCATTCTCTGCCCAAGGTACAGACATGGCAAGCACTAAATATTGGTTCAATAGCCAAAACTTTCTCTTTTCCTCCATTATAGGATGAGGCAACCAAAAGTAACACGGACCAAACAGCAAGACATCTGACCACTCTTTAGATCACTGGAACCTTGGTAAAAGAGAAGTCACCTCCCTCTCAGTTTTCAAAACACACCTGAAACTGTCTTCACCTGTGCTTACACTTCAATCTGGCACAGGAATGGCCCTGCCCTCCCTCCTTCGTTCCTTTTTATCTCCAGTGCTCACGCTCTCATGCAGTAAACTGGGTCTGGAAACAAAACTGGCTGAAACACAGTCTTCACGGGTCAATGGCCAGACCAGTGCCAGAACCAGTACACCATCAGATCTGTCCATTATACAAAATCTACGCTAGTTTAAAACAACTGTGTTACTACAACTCTATGATGCAGTAACACAATCTAAGCTTCATGATCAGCCTAAAACAATCTCCTTCTAAGATCAAAAAGTGGTTTTGGGTGATCCCCACTCCAAATCACCCCACCATCATCCTTACACCAGTATTACCACAAGTCAACTCATTTTGCTAATCTGGCTGAAAACTGATCAGAAAAACAAAGTAGTTCCAGCTAAAGCAGTGAAGCTGACAGAGGCGCAACTGCCCAAAAGAAAAATTAGGAACCAGGGGTTGGATCCCTTTTCAGCAGCAACCACCTTACATCAGCCTCAGCCAGTTGTGAAACTACACCATGGCTGTGCACGCCCAAACTGGTGCTGCATGCAGCAAGGAGACAAAACCAAAATATCACCACTAAGTCACTAACTTTTCTTGAAGTCTGCTACAGTAACTAATCTTTGCTGTGGTACCTAATCCACCCTGTTTGAGAACTGAAACTAAAATTTATTTATTTGTAATAAAGTTAGACATAACCTTAGGTCTTCCAGTAGGATGTGTTTTTCTGCTATTACCATCTTTACCGCTCCTCACATAGCCAAAATATATAATTTCTAAAAATTACTGAGGCTTTATTGTGCATGAGCCCGAGTGGTGAACATCATTTCAGAAGTGTGTTTTTCCACAATAATTAGACTAGTCAGATATTCAAAACGCACACTGTGCACGTCTGTTCAGTGACTGGGAGATACCATTAAAAGTAATAATAATCACACCTGCATGAAACAATATTTAGGCTTTATAAATTTCAAGTAACATGGCTACCCAGACATTGCTTGCATGAAAAACAACGAGGGAAACAACCACCACCAGACACTGAACTAGTCACAGGCAATTTACACGAAACATGTGCCAAGTCTACCTAAGTATAAACAGCCTCAGGATTATCAGGAAGAACAAAACATATATTGTGTAATTTGCATAAAGCATAAATATCCCAGTTCATGCTTAAGTAAACCCTTTTCACCAGACGTAAAAAACCAATTAATTTCTTCATATGGTTGCCACAGTACTATCAGCTTTGTTATCAAGCGTCCCTAGGATACCTTAAATTAAGGGTGCTGCAAATGCACAAAAGAGCATCAGAGAAATGCAAGTGCTGTTCATTGTTCCTCCCTGCAAGAATCCTGACAGCTACCTCTTCCCCCTTAAAAGAAGCATCCTTCTGAATCTTCAGCTATCAGTTCCAAGTTTAGAAGCACTTCTTAAATTCCTCCAAACAGAAGACATTTTGTAGCCCAATGTTGTGCGTGGCGAGGGCAACTCTATTATTTCCAGATTTTATATTAAATGGTATATCTAACAGCCCTGCCTAATTGCCCTGACATTTCATGAATGCAACTATCATACAGGCCTCAATTAAAATACAGAAGTTATAAATCTGAATTAATCTTTAAAACCTAGTAATTATGTTGTGCAAGAAAAATATTGTACCGTTACCTAAAGAGTCATAAAAGAATTCTGAGAGAACTACTGTTCACCATGAAATGATAAAGGATAATGGATAAAAATGGAGCAAGCATGAAATGAAAATGAAAACAGAAAGCATAATGCTTCACCTAAACCCTTAGGACCCTCTACTCTCAAGAATCACCTCAGCTGATGATTTCTATAGCTAGGTCTTCATCCTCTAGACACAAATAAAGCTCTTTTTACATACACAAACAACAATGTAACTTTTTACTGGAATAACACTGACTGACTATACCAAGATTAGGAACTGAGTCTCAAATAGTATGTCCAGAAATGGTAGGACTAGAGAAAATAACTTGCACACAAATGGAGAAAACACTAATATATGAAAGAAACAAGGATTTTGTTTTTCTCCCAACTCACTCAGCCAGGTTAGGACTAGGAGTATACAAACAATACATTTGATACACTTGCTTGCGTGAGCTCCTTCACTGGTATGCTTGCGCAACTTATGTGAATAAATTCCAGCATTCAGTCTGCTTGTGAAAGATCTGGGGGATTACAGGTCTCACATTACTATTGGGCAAGAAAATGTTTTCCCTTTTTAGTATTTTTTTTCTCCCATTTTTACCTGTTCAATAATTTTAATAACCTTTAAAAATATAACAATACTTTACAAAGATATTTTGATTATTATTTTTAGTTAAAAACTGCTAATTGGTGACCTGAATATAACTGACAGTTGAGACATTTGCTCAGTGGAAACTTACTTTAAGAGACTCAGCAAGGTAACTCAGAGCAGAGGACTAAATTAGAAACTCCCCTAGCTCACATGGAAGTCCTACACTAAAAAGTTAGTTTCTCTCTCCAGCCCTCCTGGAAACAGGCTAGACTAAACCCCTGATGTTGGGTAGCTGACTGCAAGTCCTGTTCTGAGACAAAGAAACTTTTTGGGCAGCCAAGTAAAGTAGGCTTTTAAAACTTCTAAAAGCTGTATTTTAAATACTGAAAGTTAACTGTAGGCTCTTACCTATCTTCAAATATACAAGCTACAAGTCAGGCCACGCATAAACACAGTCTTTGATCACATATACTAAGTTGCAAATCTACAGTTATGGGCTGCGGAATATTAAATATCTAGAGACATAATGCATTTTGAAACCCCTACTCATGTACAGTGGTGACAATAGGAGGTATTTTGCACACAGAGATGCACGAGTGCTCTTCAGTAAAGAGAAACTGTACCAATGGCAGAAGAGACCTTCAGTATTGGGCTCTCTCTGTTGTGCTGTATTCCTAACACAAG